AAAAAAAAAAAAAAGAGAAAAAAAATTAATTTCCAATATGCTAGAAGCAGTCTTTGCTTTCAAGCCAGAAGACAAGTTCTCTGGCTTTGGAAATGAAGCATCTGATTTGAAATCTCAACAGGTTTAAGTACGCTGAGAAGCTTTCTACAATTTAAAGGAAAAATATCACCACATACTACTACTACTATTTTACATTTCTATTAAAAAGTCAATAGATGTCTTTTGCTATTGGTACCTAAGCAAACTTTAATCTATTCATCTCAAGATTATTTATACATTTTAACACACCACTGACTGCAGCACAGACCCACCCTCTAGTAATTAGCATTGCTGCAAAATACTGTTAATACATATTCAATACTGTGAAGACAGGGGAAAAAAACCCAACACAAACTCTCTCCAATCTGAATGAATCTCACTGTCAATGTCTCCTTCTCATACTTCCCAGTGAAAAGGGATAAAAAAAAATGAGTAATACCATTATTTCTTTTCTAGACTTATTCATTGCACCAGAATGCTGAACATCAAGATGTGAACCTTGAAGGTATTTTGGTGCAACAGCAGCTGCTAAGGAATAAATATATGAATACGAACAGCCTGCTAAAATCCAGTGAATGACTGCCCTTATCTTTCACCTTGCTGAGGTAAGATCACATAGCAAAATGTAAGAAAATATTTTTTACTAAAAAATAAAATTCAAAGTGACAAAATATCATTGCAGCTCTTTTTGTACAGCACAGAAGTCCGGCTCATTTGCTTTTGAGAAATAGTTTTTATGAGTTTATAGGCTCAGAAACAGTTGAGTGACCCTTACTTTAGGCTCTCCTGTGAGCTGGAGGATGACCGGTCTGACTGAGGAAGAGATGCTATACTGCCAGAATTCTTCAAGTAGGTCTGGAGGCTTCTTTGATAGGGTGGCTCCAAAGAATTGTACAGAGTCTCAGCTTCACCAGGAAAGTGATTTCTAAGACCCAGATAAGCCCTGCAAAATAAGAGAACAACCACATGTAACTGATCTATATTTTCTTCAAAGTGTGGAGTGAGGAAGTAAAGCTCACAGAATGAATGAAGTATGGGAAGGAAAGGAACTCAGGCTGAAAATATGGAATGTATATAATACTGCACATCAGATCATAAAAGAAACCAGCTACACTGACTCAGGCTTTCCAAAATAACTTAGTGTATCCTCAAATTCTCACATTCACTTACCGATTCTGTGGGGAAGCAAGAGAAATTCTTTTCTGGATGACTCACTAGTCAGAGTGCTGCAGTTGTTTAATGACTTAACAGCAGAGGTGAGGAAGAATGATTACGCAGCAATATCAACTTCTGTGATTCCCGTTTCAGTAGAATCCTCCCACATATGCTGCACGACAGTATTAACTGCCTCAACTTTCAGAATGTCTTTTGCAAAAGTAACTAGATATTAATACAGGACTTCGTGAACAGAAACATTAATTTTCAAACTAACTGATGTCCTCTTCTTCAGCCATAGTTAGTTGCTCACCTCCAATTAGAGCATTCTATCACTCATGTAAAACATACAATTTTTCAGAGCAAAATGTAGTCAAAACTCACTTTCTTGCCTCCACTCTTGCTTCTGCATCAGCATCATGAATGCCCTTCTTGATTGTTTCAACCAAGACAGCTGCGTGCCTAGAAAAAAAGACATTCTTCATGCTATTTTGCTACTCCAAATTCTATTTTAAATAGCAGTTTTACACTTTATTTAACATTTCTCTAAGTAAAAACCAGCTGACATAGTAGTTCTAAGGTATGAACTAAACAAATGTTTAAGCACACTGATAAAATAACTGTACTTTCTGTAAAGGTTTAAGCAAGCTTCCCCCTTCAATCTAAAAGAATTATAATCTACTTTTCAGACATACAACCACTTATCACGCTTAAAAAGTTATTTTAAAATATCTTTTTAAAGACGTCTACTTTCCTGAAATGGAAAAACTATTTCCCCTACTATATTAATAGTAAGAAAAATGAAAAAGTTAAGATTATTAAGTTTGCTTTCCTGGAAATTCACCTCTGAAAGCTTTTGGTGTATTTGTTCTACGCCTCAACACATGCTCAAAGAACAGCAAAGTGCTCATCAGAACAACCAAAAAATTGTGATGATAAACAGATTTTAATTCAAGACATATTTGGGGTTTTGGGATTTTTCTGAGGAGGAGGCGGGGATGTTGTTTTGTTTGTGGGGTTTTTTTGCTGACTTTTTTTGTTTGTTTCTTTTGGTTTGAGGTTGTGGGGTTTTGTTTTTGTTTGTTTTTAATACACACTCTGACACAAATTAAGTAATCTCCCCATTTCTCCCTCTCTCAGGAGCACCTTGAGTGGCTGAACGGTGACTATGGAGCGGGATGAACTCTTCAGAGCCTTCTCTGGAGACTCTGTAATCCCTCTGCTCTCACTCTGTGCTTACAGTACACATTCTGCAGAGCTGGTGCATGTACTATTTTCCCATCTACCCGGAGAAGCTACAGTGTGCTCAATCATTACCAGAAAAAGTCCTCCAGCCTACTTGCCCTCTTTTATGGTGAACACACAAATTTCTTCCTTTTCAGGAGAAAGGCCAGATGCTTACCTGTGCATCTTTGCTGCACAGGATACATAAGTGAAACTCTGGGAAAGCACAGCATGCATTGCTCACATACAATATAGGAGAAAAGGCAGAGGGTAAGGAGAGGAGGCAACACGAAGTCAAGGCTGGAGCATACATCTCTGCTTCTCCCTGGCACTTGAATGAGTCACATGTCCTGCTGTGCTAGAAATGTTGGCCAACACTGAATGACAGAATCCAGTTAAAGGATTCAATGAAAAGATGTCTGTCTTAAAATTCATTAGCAGTTTATTTTTGGTGAAAAAGTATACTGGTCCATACCTTTCCAATGAATGTGTTTGCCACTCTTGTAACAACAGGTCTAAAAATTCAAAGGAGCGCCTAAAAAGACAGAACAAAAAGTTATAATTAATATTAATTTCTCTAATATGCTTGTAGAATAAATAGTAACTTTAGTTTTTCCCCTTAAGGCAAACAAATACATAAAATAAAAGCACATTTATCTGTCAAATAAAGACATCAGCTGCCCTATTGCAAAGTTAGAATATTCTGTATAGAAAGCAAACATGCAAGCTAACTAATCCTAAACTTCAAAAAACCAGATGTGGTTCAATTAACCATATGTCACGTTATTACACGTTATGTTAGTTTTATTAGACCAAAAATAACAAACAAAAATCAATAAACTTTAAAAATTGTCCAAACTACAAAATCACAGTATTATTAAAAAAAATAAAATAAATACTTTAAAAATTCAGCTATTAAGTCACAACATAATGTTGCTATGGCAGTGTACTTCTGTCCCAAACACTATTCCCATCCTTTCATCTGTCATTACTACGTACATAGCACAAAGGAAAACACGAGGCCATTAGTACAAGGCTCCGCATATAGAAAGTGCTCCTAGAGATTTGCTGGCACCGTACAAACTAAGTTATGTAACCTCATTCATTATTAATTTACAATTCTTGACAACTTAGCAGCCAGCCATTAGCAAAAGGCAGGCTTTAAAATAGGTCTGAAGCTAGATGCTGGTGAAAAAAATAAAAGTGGCATGGACTAGGAATCACAGAATCACAGAATGTTGGGGAC